AGCAGGAATCTGGGAGCAGGGATTTGGCAAAGCAGGCTGCTTCCAGGAGTGCCTGCTGAAATGCCAATGCTCCAGATGCAGAGGGAACACATTCTATTTTTAATTCTCAGGCTGCAGCACCTTGTGGAATGGGGCACACTGAAATGAAAGCCCTGTGGGACAGGAGTTTCAGCTCCCCTTTGACTCAGTCATTTCTCAGGTTACCTTCTCCGCTTGATCAGAAGGAATCCCAGGTTCCCCCACCCCATTCAGGAGCAAGGCTGCCCAGAGCCGTATTCCAGGAAGACAGGGGAATGTTTGTGACTCCTCTGGGGACTGTCAGCAGTTCCACACCATCTAGCTGGAAGAACTTGCATGAAATGGCTCTGAGAAGGACTGGGGTGCTGGGTGGGGACTGCCAGCTCCTCTCTACTGCCAGGAAAAGGAAACATTGTGCAGGAACACACGTGGCTGAGGAAGGAGTTCCCAACACTAGCATGGTGTGTGACCTCTGTCACTACACTCTCCTTCCACTAACCATTTTTTGTAGAGCTTAGTTGCCGGCCAGTGTTAAACCACAACATCTTCATCTCCTGTTAAAACTCCGCTTTCTTTATCTCCATCAGTTTCTCACCTTTGAAATACCTTCCCATCCTCTCCTGCCTTCTTGAGTTTCTTTTTAAATTCCCAATATGGGTTTCTCTCCCCTTTCAGTTCATCATTGGGACTGTAACATCTAAAGAGCAGGTGGTCTCCACCACTCTGAAGAAGCCATGCACCATATTCTCTGCTCAGAGATAGGAGCCCGACTCTTCCAGTGCCCAAAGCACAGCCTCTGACTGCCTCTACCCCCTTTACTTGCTGCCCTTAAGGAACATGGTCTCCTTCACTTGCCAGACTAGTTGTATGCTATCTCAGGCTTGGCGTAAGAGGAATTTTATGCAGGGAGCAGTGGGAACCATCAGGTACATAACAATTTGCTTTCAATATTCAGTAAGTGGAAGTGGCAGAGGCAAGATCCAGAGCTGGCATTGCTTTTTGCCCTGCTGAATTTCATGTAGAACCCATCAAAGTTTCCTGTTCCGTGTATCTAGCAAGGCTTCCACATACCAGGGCTAGAGCTTTCCAGTCTGGTATCCAGAACTCTGCTGCAACTTGTTGTGGCCAGATCAGTTGGCAACAGGTCTCCAGAAACACTCATGGAGTTAGTCAACAGGTAGTTCTGCAGGAGACACTCCTCTGTCTCATGGTCCTTTATCCCTCTGTGACTCCTTGGCTCACAAGACATTTATTATCTTGGGCATTTACTGGTGCCACTCAACAGGGGCCTGGGCTGCTGTGGTCCTTGACAAAGTGAGGGTGCCCACAAAGGAAAGCTTTCCTTGGCTTGCTTTCCACCAGGTACACGATGCTGTTGTGCCAGGTCTCCTTGGAGGATAAGTCTACAGTACATCTTGGCAAGGTGAATCCTGGACACCACTGCTTTTGCCAGGCACATCAACCAACCTGCCCAGCGTGTGGCCCCCTGTCAGGGGACCCCTCTGCAGCACCGCTGGGCTCAGATGCTTCCAGCACAGCTTGGCAATGCTGGTGGGGCCACAGGACCTGGAACTGAGCCCAGACAGTCTCTCTTGCCCCACACAGCTTTACAAGCTGCATGCCCACAGCACGTCAGGTCGCTGTCTTTGATCCTGCACAGCTTATGAACCCCATTTGCAGCCTGCATGGAAGCCCTGGAGGTTCATGCAGATGCCTGCAGGGCCTGTCTCTGCCGGCCTGGAGCCGCGGGCTTGGCTCCCTCACAGACAGCACTTACTTCTCTCACACGAAGCGCTGTCGGGGCTGCCTCCAAACAGGAACGGCTGACAGCACAAGCCTGTATTTTAAACCACTTCAGATCAAACACTAAGGAAATGCCAAGCCAAAGAGCTTTCTGTTTCCTCTCCTTCCCCTGTAATCCCCCTGCCTGTCTCCAGGTGCCTGGGAGAGCTGCTGGCCTGAAAGCCACCAGCCTCCTTTCGCACTCAGGAGAGCTGGGGGTTTTTATCTCTCCTATCCCTGACAGTCTCCAACAGCCTCCAGCTCTCAAGCTTCCTACACAACCCACCTTTAATGAATTAGGACAATTGCTCTGGGCTTCTTGAGGATAATTGCTAATAAAATTCAGCAGATTTTCCTCAAAAGACATGAAAGGGTTGGAAGCAGAAAGAGAGAAACTAAAGGGGAAGGAAAATGCAGGACAGAAATAATAGCCCTTCTTCTATTCATGTCTCATCCACTACTGCTGGGTTTTTGTTCTTAGAGTCACATATTTCAGAGGTGAATACTCCCAAACTGTCTCTGGTGGGGAAATGCTTCATGACCTCTGCTTTGGAAAACTGTTTGGTTGTTTTTGAAGTTAGTTGCAAGATCTTCCTGAAACCAGAAAAAGGCAGAAAAGCCTTAGGCTTGGATTTGCAAAGAATCAGCACAGCATCAGCAACAGACAAAGTCACAAGACAAAGATATCCATATTCATCCTGACGTTCTCTGATAAGAACCCCTTTCAATACTTTATTTTCCAAAGAAAGTTTAATGCACAGAAGCAATGGCTTCTAAAGCCAGGATGATCTTAGATGTTCTCTTGAGGCACTGCAGACACTGATACTCCAACATGGTCTAGGTTCAAAACAGCTGAGGAGCTATTCAGACCATCAGATCCAGCTTCCTGTGGACAAGAATAGTTTCAACAGGTGAGTTAGGCATCTCTCATAAGCAGCCCAAATGGCAGGAACCCCAAAACGCACCAACTTTGAGCAGGAATAACCAGCATTGTGTTCTGTGTCACTAGGTTATCACACAGGGTCTACAAGAAGAGCAGCTCAAAGACTGCAAAGCCATTGCATGGGTCTATCATATAAGAACACCAGGCTGATAAAGGACTAGAAAGGTCACCAAGCCCAGTCTCCAAATAATGTGTCTCTCAGATTAACTGGGAGCAAATAATAGGTGTCACTAATGAGACACATGAAATGGTACCAGCATGTCTTGCTTTCAGTCTGTCTCTACTTGTGGCACATAGCCAGTACTACATAGGAAAGAAAAAAGCCTCTGAAAATAAATTACATCTTGGAGGAAGGGGGAGGAAGTTTTCTTCCTAAGCAGGCCACTAGCAACAGCCCTGAGAATGGGATTTATGTGGCATAGATACAGGAAAAAATATGACTATGCAATCTTCTTTCACATTCTCTCAAACCCATCAGCATATCACAAACCCAAGGATTCTTATCACAAGTGTAATTTTATGTCATTATGATTCTATGATGCAGTTATTAAATCCCTTTCCCAAGATCACAGGGCTCCACCTTCAGAAAAAAAAGTAATTTTATTGCCTGGCCCCACTACTTCATCTTGGAAGACCATTCCAGAACTTAACTCCACAGGAAGAAACAGACAGTCCTTGCTACATTTGGTTTGCAATACAGTACATACCAAAGCCTGAATTAAACCAGGTGATTAACAAAGGAAATAAGAAATCTTGAGCAAGAAAAGAAGATACAATGTTGCAAAGCTCTTCATACTGTGATTAATATCTCCCTGCTCCTCGATGTCAGCTAGATATTAAAATAAATTAAGGATTAACTTCAACATTAAGTAGGACCTAAAAATGCCTTTTGTAATTTTATTTTCCTTTCCCATGTTTCTACTCCAGTAGATCAATACCCAGACTTCCTGCTTCTGCACAGTGTCTCTTTAAGCTTCTCTGATGTTACACAACATGCTGCTAATTCTGACAAGGAAGCCACTTATCTTCAGGGGAGGTAATGAATATAAATAAAACAGTATTGTAGAATATTCCTTTGGGCAATGGCAAGTCAGTGTATATTTCCTACCACAAGGCAGGAGTCACTTTGGGAGCACTGCATGACAGAACACAATGAAATGTCTCTCCTGGCAGGGTTTATCCAGGGCTCTAACCAGAGCCCCCTTGATCCAGTAAAGATAACTATATTGCAAGAGGTCCAAACTCTTCTTTGATTCAGTCTGTTTCTGTATTTGCCACATAAGTAGATGATATGAGCCATTTTGAGATTTCATAGCCCACTGAGTGGTCTCCTTGTCCTTTACCAGCCAGAAGAGAGGGGATCATTTTGTAAATTGCAGCCCAGAGCAGCTGAATTGAATCCACAACCATTGTGTATTAAACTACACTTATGGTTTTCTTTATCCTTGCAAAATGAAAGAAAAACTTGCCAATCTATGGATACAGAACAAATCAATTCCCTAAGACCATCAATCCTCCAACTGTCTTTTCTTTAATCCAGATAAATAATTGCTTCTTTGTGTCAAGGCTTTATGAAGGATGCATTCATCAGGTGTTTTAAGAAAATGGTCAGTCAATTCTCAGAGACTATTACAGACTCCAGAAAATCACTGAAGCTTCTTACCATCCCAGTTTGTAACTCTGTAATGTTTTCTCCCAAGGCATATAACCCTCTAACACAGCAGCTCCTAAACTATTCCGCTGGCATCCCAACTTCCACTCTGCAAGGCAGCAAGTGTGGTCACACACCCTTACTTGGGAACTGCTTTCCTAGCATATATTCCTCATGTTGTAACATGTTTCTAGCACCTAAGAGTCATCTTAACCTGCTTTGCAAAGTATTTAGAAATGAAGTCTTAAAGCAATGTCACCCACAGCATAAATTAACACCCAGCACTCAGTTGCAATTATTTGGTGCTCTGTATTGCAAGCAGAAATTACTGGATGCTAATGTTATTGCTGGGAAATAGCATTAAGAGATGGTAATTCCATCCAGGGCACTCACATAGATTCAATGTCAGTGGCAGTAGTAATGATTTATTCAAATTGCAGCATTACCTTGAGGAGCCAAATTATTTAGTGACCCCATTGCAGCAGGACTAGATCCAGGCACCATCTTGAAAGGGAGATGCTGATGCCATGCCACGTACACAGCAGTGTGAGCTACTCAGGGCAAGGCTGGGGCAAGGCAGGGTTCAAACCCTCTCCATAGTCAGAGGAGCCTGTGGCCTGGAGAGCACAGAGGACAAGGGGATAGGAGACATAAACAGTGCGACCAAGGGGATTTTCTCTTTGGTGTTCCATGTATAGACTGGGCCAGTGTAGCAAGGACTCCTTGCTCATATACAGAATCCCACTGATTCTGACACGAAAGACTTCTTTGTGATTCCAGATGTGCTGGAGCAAGCTCTGTGTACTTACACCCTTAAAGTCTTGTACTCACAAAACCAAGGATCTGCATTTCTTTTCCAGGGCAATTTTTTCCAGGTCAAAAGACAGATAGAAGAGCAGGGCCATGAGAAATTTATCTAGTTTCTCATTCCAAGAAAGGTCACTGTGATTATGTAAACACCACCAGAAGTGGTGCTGCTCGAGAGCCTGCACTACACCAAATATTAGCTGTATCATAGAATCATAGGTTAAGGTTGGAAGAGTCCTTAAAGATCATCAGAAACCAACCTCCCTGCCATGAGCAAAGCCCCATCCAACCTGGCCTTGAACACCTCCAGGGAGGGGCTTCCACAACCTCCCTGGACATCCTATTCCAGTGCCTTACTACACTCATGGTGAAGAATTTCTTCCTGATGTCTAACCTAAATCTACCCTCTTTCAGTTTAAAACCATTAACCCTTGTCCTATCACTGCCCTCTCTGATGAAAAGCCCCTCCCCAGCTTTCCTGTAGCCCCTTCAGGCACTGGAAGGTGCTATAAGGTCTTCCTGGAGCCTTCTCTTCTCAGACTGAACACCCCCAACTCTCTCAGCCTGTTTTGATAGCAGAGCTTCTCCAGCCCTTTGCTATGCTATGGGGTTGAGGCGTATTCATAGCAACCCCTCTCTGCCTCACCCTAAGACTTTCAAGGCTTTTAGAGAATTATTGATCATCCCCAATAAACATGTGGAGAGGATTGAATTGGTTATTACCAGACATACTGCCAGGAAGCATGTTTTCTGCACTGATCATGGCAGAAGAGTGGCATCCACATTCAAAGGAGAAGGGGGACAACTTGGACACCTCTCCCTTTCTGAGAGGCCAGTATGGCTAACGCTCAACAAGGTCTGCAGCTGCTTCCCTAAGTCAAGGGCAATGCAGCTACTGAATGGCCCTGGTGATCTCAGGGATATGCCTCTGAGATATAATGCTCCTCCTGCTGCCTCTTTGCTTTTAGCCTATGGAGCAGTAACACTGATAAGTGACAGCAGCAAATACTGAGCCCTGTGGCTCTGACAGGAACAGCAGCAGCCCAGGAAGGCAGCCCAGATTCCCAGTCAGGCCAGCAGTTAGTGCACACAGTGTCGTGCGTGCACTGGCTGACATGGAACGTAACTTAGAGTACAATGGACAACAACCTTCAGATATTTAGGCCCCGGTTCTTGCCTTCCTCTAGGTAACAGAGTGGAAGGCTTTCAAAGAGCTGATACAATTATGCCTTGGCAAATGTTGACAACGACATGCATTTGGTGTTGCTTCCCACCAAGCCTCACAGAGGAGAGAGTTTAAATCTCTGATACTTCACATGCTACTTCTCATACAGCCTGGTCCCTCCACTACCAGCTACATACACATCATACTTGAAACAAACTCTAAATGACACACCTCATAACCACTGCAAATGATAGTGTGAGATGTGACTCATTTGCTTCTTTCAAAAGGAAAGCAGCACCTGAAGACACACAGAGGAAAAAAACCACAACAGTATTTCCTAAAAAAAAAAAAAAAAAAAGCCAGTGTTAGTAGAAATAACCTTCTGACTTGTATGGGCAAAGCCTTGCTGATACGAATTACCAGCAATTACTCACATTTGACTTCATCCAACATCACATCTTTATGATGTACCCACTTTGACAGACTGTGCAATTTTCCCTCTGTGTCAGCCAGCCTGCATTGCACTGCAATCATCTTGGAAGATGCTAGTGGTTGACCATCTAAGGACACAGTGTTAATTCCAGTCAGAGAATATTAAGATTATCTACCTGGTACCTACCCTCTTCACTGCACTTAGTTTCAAAGAAACAGGCAGTGAAATGTGTTTGGCAGGTATCCTGAGCTAACTTTCAACCATTACAACCACAAAACAGGCTTGGGATGTTGAGAGAAATAGGACATTTCACCTCTAAGGTTGCGTCTGAAGTTGTTCTTTTAGTTGCTAATATAATAAAATGTGACTATATTATTTAGATCAAAGAGGTTTTAAGTAATGGATGAAAGTCAGCTATCCCATGTTGTGAATTTATAAAATTAATAACAATAATAATACTTTAATCTTTGAAGCGCCTTACACAGATGAATTAATTACCTCACAATACACTTTAGGGTAGATGAGAATTATTACCTCATTCTGAGCAATCTGGAAACAGCAGCAAAGATGCTGAATGACTTTACCAAAGTCATAACAGGCTAGCTCCTGAGCTAGCATTCAGCACCAGGCATGCCTGGTTCTGTTTTTATGTTCAGACCACTCATCCACCCTGCTGAAATGACAGCTGCCTTCCTGCTTCACGTGTGCTGTTCAGACATGATCCTCAGACAATGGATGAAAATATTCCCACCCAAATGATCTTGTTTATTTTTGAGCTAGGCTAGCTGAATTGAAGTACTTCTTTAATGTCCGGACACGCATTTCCTGCAAGAGAATATTTTCAACTTCCTTAAGGTTTTTCTCAGCTGCTGCTTTGGAGCTGAAATGTGGAGTCTGAGTGTGAATGAGTATGAATTTAAGTTACCAGCAGCAGTACAAAGAGGCCAACACCCCATGATATAAAGGCATATCTAATTTGGCCTCTAACACACTAAGAAAACATCTGGGTTGTGGTGAGGCCCAGAGACATTGCTTTCAAAAACACAGCAGCAAAGAGTAAAGGGGCTTCCCTGGGTCTTCCTGCATTGTCTTCTGCCACCATTTGCACTGCTCCATGTAAACCCCTCAAGCAATCGGTGTCTCAGGTGGCTACAGGAAGGTTTAAATGTCAAGTGCTCAGTTCCAGAGCTTTTCTTGAGAATTGCTGAGGGCAGAGACAAGCAGAGGTCACTGAGGAGCTCACTCCTCTCCCTGGAGCAGCGTTCCCAAACCCATCAGAGTAGTAGGCTGGAGCTGCTGAGACACAGACCATGAAAAGTACCTGCAGTTGTTGTGTGGCCAGAGGAGAGATGAGCAGCCTGGCTCCACTGTGACAAAGGCTTGGAAAATGTCTGGCAGGGCAGGAAGCAGCAGAAGGCAGAATATGATGGACCCACTGCTGCCACACTCCTCCATGCCCCCTGCCCTGCACTGGAGGAGAGAGCAGGGGGATTGAGTTTGGGTGTTGGGCTTTTTTGCCCCAATAGTTTAAAGTCTTAATCCACAACTGCTGCAGAAATTCAAAGCACAGCTACGTGCACTTTGTCCCACACAGAGCTGTGGTTTCCCTAAAGGTTTGCAGTCCTCCAGTGCTCAGCATTGCACAGGGGTCATGTGTAACATCAGCAACAGGGGACATCAGTCTGTGGACACCCACACAGATACCTGGGGTGGCTTTTGGACCTAGAGTCCCACACTGCTGCTCCAGTGCACGGGGCACATTTCTGACACACAGCAGGACCTGCCACACAGACCCTCTCTGTATTGGGTCCATCTTGAGAGCAGTGTGGAGTATATGCATACTTCTGATTTTTTGCATTAATATGATGGGATAAATGCCTCAGAGCAACAGTTAAGGAGCTTCAGGCTAAATAAAACATAAAAAATAAAATAATTTAAAAAATAAAAGTAAATTTAAAAAAAAAAGAAATTTTCCTGTAGTTGATGTTTAGGCAAAATAATATTAGACTCTAACTTTACCTTAGTTGCAGCTGCTGCATCTAGGCCTAAAAATCTGCATAACTTGAAATTAACATTCTTTTACCTTGCAAATTCAAGTGTGTTAGTATCATCTTTCCAGTACCACGTGCCTGGAGTTACTTTTCTCATCTGCAAGAAATCAGCATACAGAGTACGAGTCATACATCTATGCTCAAGCTCTCAGCCCAACAAAGGATTTATAAAGCAAGCACTGTACATATGGGCCACTTGCTGGCTTTTTTCTGTCTGTGTTTCACCCAAATGTTGTTTGTGTATGAGTTATTTGAACATAAATTCTCTGAGATTAAAGGTTGCCAGCATAAGAAATATATATATCTGTCTTTTTTTATGTCTTTCTGTTTATTAATAAGTGATTGAAAGTTTGCTAAGGAACATCAGTTCTTGGATTGCCAGTGAATCAATAAAGACTGAAAAATCAAATGGAGCCATGCATTAAAGAACACATTTCTTTTATTTGTTGTTTTTTTTGAAATAATATTTATGTAATTGTAGAGACTAAGTATCAGGAGAAAGGAAGCCTTTGTTTAAAACTGGAATGTGCTTTGCATTTTCTTGATACTCTGAGAACTTTCAGTAAACATAACAGACCCTTCAGAGGACACTGGACAAAACTAGTAGTAGCAGCATTCTACAGCATCTATTTATTTTTTTTTAAAGTCCATATAAAAAAAAAAAAATATCCCCTGGAAATAAGTAAGATCTATTAGTCCTTTCTTAATTAACAAGAGATTTGCAAGCCCTTAAATATTATTTGCAGGTCACCTTTAAGGCAAAATTACTCTTATTGCTGAAATTCTTCTGCCTACAAATTTAAACCAAGTGAAACTTTCAGGCTTTCTGTGACTTTTTTCCAGGTACCATTTAGCCAGCCAGCCAGCCACAAGGCTCTCACAAGTTCTTGCTCAATCTGGTTTGGCAGGAGAGTGCTGGATATGGGACACCAGAATAATTTCATGTCAGCAGCCAGCAGCCCAGGCCACGATTAGACCACAGAGATGAATATTAGGAAACCATGTCTCTAATCCTTTGACAAAAAGTGGTTATTTCAACTTGTCTGTCCTAGTCTTCAGTTCCAGCTTTCTAATACTGGTTTACAACTCTTAGAAGAAAAAGGTCATGCAAATGCTATGCCTTTATGTTACACACAAGGGATTATGAACCATGAAAGAAAAATAGAAAAGGTGGCATTCCAGCAGAGCAAGGCTTGCCAGCGCATCACAATAAGGAGAAAATACCACTCCTGTGCCTTCAAAATACATCTCAGCTGCTTCTTACTAATATGAATGGCTGAATGACTGTCCCAGGCCACTCTGCTCCCTGGCTGGGTCAGTGGGACAGATCCCTGCCCATCCCACCTCACAGAGCCACAGCATCTGCTGCAGGGGCAGATGTGGACAGCAGCAACCAGATGGAGCTGGGAAAGGTGGGGAGACTCACAGAGAGCATGGTGCTGGCCTGGGACATGCCAGGAACACAGGGCAGGCAGTGGTTAGGGCAGTGCCCTGGTGACAAGCCTGCTGTCCCTTTGGAGGACAAACCCCCCTCCAGCCTGTGCTGTGGGCTGGGACTCATGGTCTGCATGCTCTGCTTCTTCCCACCTCTGCTAAGCAGCTTCCCTGGGCAACATTTTAGTCCAAATAGAAAAATAAAATGCTTTCCATGCAGAAATATCTCTGTAGCCACTTGTTTGGGATTACTGTGCTCTTTGGCAGTGGGGACCTGCAGAGGTTTTCCCAGTGACTGGCCCAGGACCGGCAGCAGGGAAGGCAGCTGCACCCAGTCCCTGCACTGTGGGCATGGGTGTCTGTACAGGACTCTGCATCTTGAACACAGTGTATCTTTGGACTTTACAAAATTGAAAAGGTTTCTCCAGTGCTGGGGCCCCCACCATAAGAAGGATAGGGAGCTCTTGGAGCCAGCCCAGGGGGCTACATGAAGATGATCAGGGCTGGAGCAGCTCTGCTGTGAAGACAGGCTGAGGGAGTTGGGGTTGTTCAGCCTGCAGAAGGCAAGGCTCTGTGCAGACCTTACAGTGGCCTTCCAGCACCTGAAGGGGCTGCAGAAAAGCTGGGGAGGGACAGTTTACAAGGACATGTAATCATAGGACAAGGGGAAACTGTTTCAAACTGGAAGAGAGGAGATTTAGGTTAGGCATTAGGAAGAAACTCTTTTCTGTGAGGGTGGTGAGACACTGGCACAGGCTGCCCAGAGAAGCTGTGGCTGCCCTATCTCTGGGAGTGTTCAAGGCCAGGTTGGATGGGGCTTGGAGCAACCTGGTCTGGTGGGAGGTGTCCCTACTCATGGCAGGGGGGTTGGAACTAGGTGGTCCCTTCCAACTCAAACCATTCTATGATTCTAGAAGTGTATCAACCAGGTGACAAGTCTCCTGTGATATGACCTAGGTTCCTACGTGAGCAATCAGCTCAGGACTTGCAATTTGCCCCTAGAAATAATTCCCATACATTAAGGCAGGTTGCTTAAAGGCATGATTTTTAGGGAGGGGTTTTGATCTTTGGGATATTGTGAAGCATTGTTTTTGCAAGCAGAAAATCTCTCATCCTCATCATTCACGGTTGAACAATGTCATTTATAACTGGTCCTACTGAGATCACACCCAAGATTGGTACAAGTTTTATTGACAATACCACTTTTTGCCAACATAATTCAAGTCCCCACGAAGGGTGAGGTTTCATGTTACAGCTAAAGCAGCTTAATATCCAGTTGTTGATGGAAAATACATTCTTGTTCCCATCATTTTTTCCCCATAATTTCTCTTTGTGTTGATTCTTCTTCTTCTCTGTCCCCACAGCAAGGTGGCTCCCTAAGCTGTCAAAAATAGTAATCTAGCAAAAATAAATGAGGACATTTCTGTTGAGTTGGCATTTTACAGCTCGTGGTGGAGTCAGAGAAGGGCCAGAAGATATGCAGATAAAGATAAGGGGACGAGGAGGACCACACCTCTCGATAGAGCAGGTCAGCTGTAAGGTGAAACCCAGCCACAATCTAGGAAAATTTTGCTCATACAGCTGCACTAGGCCAGCATGTACTTTGGAGAGGAAAATACCTGAGCTAAGAGTTCTAGACATGTCAGTTCAGTAAGACAGAATGATCATTTCCTATGCTTTCGGCTCTTAAGGATGGCAGTGTTCATTTTTGCAATACTTTCTAACTAGGAAAAATATTTACTCCTGAAAGCAGCACTGAGATGTTCACAATCACATGGAAGAACACAGGGACAATACAATGTGGGCAAAGAAAATTTCCCTAAAATAACCAGTCCCTAATTCCCCCCCTCCCACCCCATTTCCATAGACTTCCAAACACTGCATCTTGTCTCCTGTAAATACTCTGCAAAGGATTGTCCATGCAAGCACAATCAGCCCATGGATAGCTAAGCAAGAAGATCAAATCAGCCTGAAAATTAAGCTCTGGCTCTGTTCTCCACAGCCACCTTCTTTTTACTTTTTGACAATCATATTGTATATGTTGTGTTTCCAGTTGCTATTGCAGGCTGCCAAGTACATTTCCATGACTTGGCAGCCAAGTTACATATTTCAGAGGCTGAGAGAAGCAGGTTTGGGAATGACCTCAAATCTCACCCATGGCAGCCAGGCAGCACTATGGAAATAGGCTCCCCATCAGGGGACAGTGGGAGATATGGAACTAATGGCTCATTGACTCATTTTTATAGAGTGGGGCTGTGATCAGCCTCAGGAGACCATCAGCCCATCTTGGCTCCAGTGACAGACATCCCAAAAGAACTGGGAAAAGTAAAGGACATGTTGCATCTAGTTAGGGCCACCTGTGTTAGTCTTTGTGGTGCAGGAGGCAGCGGAGACAAACCTTTGGCTCTCTTTGCTTTGGGAGCAAATTGGCACAAAAACCCCAGATGAAAGATGGGGAGAAACTAAGAGGGAGAACTACCTATAGGTAGAACAACTGTGAATGCAAAGACTGGGACTGACATGGATAGCTAAGCAAGAAGATCAAATCAGCCTGAAAATTAAGCTCTGGCTCTGTTCTCCACAGCCACCTTCTTTTTACTTTTTGACAATCATATTGTATATGTTGTGTTTCCAGTTGCTATTGCAGGCTGCCAAGTACATTTCCATGACTTGGCAGCCAAGTTACATATTTCAGAGGCTGAGAGAAGCAGGTTTGGGAATGACCTCAAATCTCACCCATGGCAGCCAGGCAGCACTATGGAAATAGGCTCCCCATCAGGGGACAGTGGGAGATATGGAACTAATGGCTCATTGACTCATTTTTATAGAGTGGGGCTGTGATCAGCCTCAGGAGACCATCAGCCCATCTTGGCTCCAGTGACAGACATCCCAAAAGAACTGGGAAAAGTAAAGGACATGTTGCATCTAGTTAGGGCCACCTGTGTTAGTCTTTGTGGTGCAGGAGGCAGCGGAGACAAACCTTTGGCTCTCTTTGCTTTGGGAGCAAATTGGCACAAAAACCCCAGATGAAAGATGGGGAGAAACTAAGAGGGAGAACTACCTATAGGTAGAACAACTGTGAATGCAAAGACTGGGACTGAGAGCTAAAGACAGAGCTGGCTAGACAGGCAGGAAAGGCCTGGGAATCACTGCAGCAGACTTGGGTAAAATTAAGAAAATGTGGAAGGGATTTGTAGAGAGTGGGTCTGAATGGGTTCTGGGCAAGCACAGGGGCCAGGACAGACAACTGCCAGGGGGAACCCTGAGACTGCCTGGGGTATCAGGGCAGAGGACTTGGGGTACCCAGATGCAGCACTGCACCATCCTTCACCACATGCTGGCTGGAGATCAGTCCAGCCCAGCCCCTCACCCCTGCTGATGGCCCAAATGGGCATCAGTCTGGGAAAAAAAATGAACAGCCTGGCATTGTCTAGCAAAGGTTTGTTGGATCCCTGCTTTAGCTGTTTCAAGAGTTGGAAGCTACAAAATGAGTGAGCCAGAAGATTACAAGAAGTGAAATTAAGGTGTAATGCAGTTGAAGGTTACATGGGAAACTGATTTCCATATGGGCTTCAGTCACAGAATGCCAGGCAAATCACTCCAACCCACATTTAACCCTAATGACCACTATTTGCATGCTCTTCTCTCTCTGAGCAAACGGCCTGGCTTCATGGAAATGTGAAATGCAGGACTTGGTATCCATGGCTGTGACCAAAGCCAACAGGAACTGTACTTTGAACAGTCCAAGAAGTGCATAAATACCAAGTTGTCCAAAAAAGCATTCCTTGGCATTTCCAGTAGAAGATCCCATAATAGACAGATGGCATTTGACTTTTGGCATTTTTCTCTGTGGGAATTACACACTTTTCAGGGATGAAAACTAAACACTTAATGTTTTGCAGCACTCATGACGTGGTGGTTATGAGATCAACAGGCCACATCCTAAGGGATAATACTACTCCAGATCTAGGGCTGGACAGCACACAGTAAATAAAGTGCATATTGGACTGTGAAACATGACTTTCTTAGAGTATAAGCTGCCCATTGTGTGCACTGACTAAGGCAGGTGCCCTACAAAAGAAAAAAAAATATTAAAATTTGTTCCTATGTAATTAAAACCTGAGTTACGATGCATAAGCACAAAGAAAGAAGGAATTTAGCCTTGCTCTGATTGTCATAATTCTGAACAGTTGACCTTGCAGCCTTAATAGGCTTCTTCTAATGTTGCTTCTTGTGGTGTGTGTGTGCCCATGTGCATCCCAGTAGCTGGGAACACTCAACAGTATGTATATGTTTCCATTCTTTAGGTATATCTAGTGTTTAATTCGGATATCACGCCCACAAAATAAACACACGCATAAACTCAACAAAAATATCACTGACTCACCATCCAGTCATTCAGCCCTTTTCTGCCTCTAGTTTCTTCTTGCTGTGTCAAGTCCCTGTCTTCCATACCCACCACAGGAACTTCCTCCTCTCTTCCCAGGGGCAGTTAAACATCAGGCCTGGTTTCTCTGGGAATATCAGGCTCCGTGTGTGCACACTACTGTTTGCATCAGACACACCAGCATAGCATTCAATTTCACAGTAGCTAGTACTTAGTCCATGACTGTGTCATTTACCTGCCAAGTGCTTCTGCTCATAAAAACAGGATCATGCTATATGAATGGAATAAATAATGTCCTTAGGCACAATACTATGAGCACTAGTATGGGGTTTCACTTCAGATTTGTGCAAAATTGAAGTTCCTGCTTCTTTGTTTTCAATTATTTTCCCTGTTGGCACATGTTAACACTGTTGGATGTCAGTCCCAAACCTTAAATCATCCAAAGCAGTTGGATAGCTTCACTGTAACTTCTGGAGAGATCCCATGGCTACCTGCCACATTCAGTGGGATCTACATCCACAGAGGCAAACTGGCCAAAGGTGTTTGATAGGCAAAGGCAGCATTAGCTACTGAGCCCAGGGTGAAGGTGCAAGGGAAATCAGGAGGCAGTGACTGCCTAGCACTGCTTGCAGGAAGGCAGCTTGCTTTTGACAAGCCAGAAAAACCAGCTGCACATTCTCTTCCTGAAATCCTCCTGCAATTATTCCCTCTGTCTGGTTTTATCAGATGAGATTATTGAACATTAGCAGTTGTCAGCTATTTTCATGCAGCTAGGCATTTGCCTTGTGCTGCTAACAATCAACCTTTTGTTATTAACATGGCTGTAACAGAAAGGAGGGAGTATTTAAATGCACCTCATACTCAATAGGTATTTTCAAAAAACCAATTTTGACTCTGTATCTGAGATGCTCAGAAATCTATGCAGCTTGACAAAAAATGTCATAGCCTAGTTTCTAGTTCTTCTGTAGGATATAATAACCATCTCCCTGCTATAGAATTAGGGGAAACTTAATATAGATGTACTGTAGACAAGAACTCTGCTAAAATCGGTGAGCTTTTAAGTTAATTATTGCAGAGAACTTTATTTTAGGTTTTAATTCAATAAACTAAGTCTAAAGAATGCCTGGGATAGGACTAAGGCCTCGCTAGCATCCATGGTCCTTAACCAAGCTGTGTTAGTACATTTGCAAACATGTTGTGAGTGAGATCTGCAGCAGGAAAATAAGGAGTCTACCAAATGAGAAATAAATGTAGTTTTGAAATAAATGTTTGCATTTACAGATGCAGCCTGACCAAAAGAAATGCTGCTTTCAGCTATGACATGTGGTTGCTAGACTGCTAGTTCAACCATGCAATAGCTCATAGAAGGATGGATAGTTAGAAAACATTTCATTATGTTTTGTCAGTGAACAGCAAGGCAGCCAAGACCTTGAAACCCACAGGGTTTTCTGTAGAGTTTTGTTGAAATACAGAGCATCAGCACTTCTAGAAGTGCTTTTGTCTCCTTAGTTCTATTAAAAATAGATTTTTAAAGAGCAATCCTTTGCAGCAGTGATATTTTTAAGTGCTCCAACAAATAGGGCACAGATGCTGCAAACTGCCAGCTACACATGAGCATGAATGAACTCACACTTCTTGGTCCAGGATGCAACAGTCATCTGTCAACTTGTGTACAGGCCAACATACAAATGCCAGTTCCTGACAGTGGGAGAAATTCTCTTTGGCAGTGGAGAAGGAACAAAAATTTTCAATACTGCTCTTTATTTTCCTTAAGACTACATAAATGTTTGCTCTTAGAGGGAAATTTATCCCCTCTCTAAAATTTCTGGCTGGTGCTGTTATTGGGATGACAAGAGGAACCAGCTTGTCTATGTCTCTACTGATGCAGGAGAGAGTAGAGGCAAATGGGTCATGCAAGGGTGGATCAGGGGTTTTTAATGCTGCTGTTTCATATGTGGAAGTGAAATATGTTGTTGCATCTGGAAATGCTGGCCTGCCCAACTATATAATCATCACGCTTTTGCAAGCAAAATCTACTCTCAAGGCAGGTCTATGCTATAGGCTTCTGCCTGCATAAATATGAGAGTGGAGGAAAGATGTGATACCTGACCCACATAGGTGTGTGTGCTAAAGAAGCTTTAGTGGCATAACTTGTTTTGCTCTGGGGTAGGGAGGGGTGATAACTTTCCTGTGATGAACAGCTACAGACATAATTTTGCTGCTGTAAGAGCATCCACATGCTTTGCTGGTTTAATATCACAGGATTCCCATGTGCCAAGGCACAGTGTCCCTGAGGTGGGCAGGGATTAGACCACCATGTGCTTTCTAAAGGGACACTGTGGGAAACTCATGCCAGGCACAGGGCAAAGGAAGAGAAATGTGGAACACTTTTTAAACAAGCAAAGCTTGAAATGCTATTACGTAGCAAGGCACTGACAAGACTCAAAAGAAGAACTAAAAAATTAAGTATGTATGCTGCGTGTAAATGCATGGAGTTTAACCTAAGTGCTAAGACTGGAAATGTGAATTCCCTGAACATTTTTCCCTTTTTTTTTTCCTGTTCCTTGTATGTATCTGTGGGACTGGCTCACTATGGGGAAGACAAAATTTATGGTGCAGTCCTGAGATGCCCCACCTCCTTCAGAGTCATCTGCCCTTGGCTGTGCCCCACATTTCCCCAAACCTTCAAGGAGAACCTTTCAAATAAATGACAGGCAGCTCAGCTCCCAAGAGAAAGGCTGCCCAACCTGCAGGGCTCTACACAGTGTCTCCTGAGAGATAAAAGGAAGGCTGCCAGGATATATTCATTCCTGTTTTTAAGATGGTATCACAAGGGGATGAGCAGGGCTGCAGCCTGTCTGCTAGGTCCTCTGTGCTGACTTCAAACAGACGTTCCAGAAGCGGCAGGGCACGGGGCTGACTCGCCTGGCTGGCTGGGTGGACACAGCCTGTCCAAGCCTGTCTCAGCTTTCCAGCTCCTGAGTGGGCTGCCCTCAGACAGCTCTCTTGTCCTCAGCTCCCTCTGAGGGCTCTCACATGGCACGTTATTTTAGTAATGCTTTTGACTTTGTCTTTTTCAGGCTGTTCTCCCCTGCAAAGTGAGGAATCGCAGGGCGACCTGCACTGCCACAGGAGTGGTTGCTTTGCATAGCTACACACCTGGCTGCACCCCGAGTGAGGTGCTAAGGTGCTTAAGGGTTTTAATTTGGGTGATTAAATTCTCCAGCATTAATGCTATGGGTGTTCCTCTATATAAAATAATACTATCCATATAAACTCGATCAGCAACTACAAGGAGCCATCGAAAGTCGACACCATATTTACACAAATGCTACAGAGTTCTCACCACTTTATATCCTTCCTACAGGCTTGGTCTTTTGCTCAGCCCTGTGTAAGAATAAGCAAAGTTCAGAAACCCAGGTCCACGATTCTGACCAAAGGAGTTGGCTCTCCCCGTGAGTCAGGACAGTACAAAGGAGGAGAGACGCCGAGTGTGGAAGCAATGAAACTGCAGATTTTAGGCAAGATTATTTCCTTAGCTCTGCCAAATTCATTTGAAATGTGCAGCTGCTCCCCAGAAATACACGTACACACCGAATACACCCATTTGCAAATGAGGAGCAGCATTTTCCCCTCTGATATTTATTTTTTTTAAGCAAGTGACGCGAAAAATGCGGACACACTGGAGTCAGTATCCAGTTTCCACTAACAGCATCAGAGTTCACTCTACAGTAAGTACAATATACTGAAAATCAATGTGAATGAATGCAAAGAATCTAGCTTGGAGTCTTTCAGGCTTTCCACCTCTTGCATTCTGGGGGGTTGGTCTCATATTTGCAAGGCTACTTTTTGCCTCAAGACTTCAAAACTTTTTCCAGTCCAATAAGCCAGCAGAAGTTTCTCATCCTTTACACATCCTTTCTCACCTCCCACAGTTTAGGTGTGCCCATACTAAAAAATACCCCTTTTCTTAGGAAAAAAAATAAATACAATTACTCCAGTAATCCTGTTCATCTTCAGTCCCTGAGGTATTTTAACCATCTCCCTGGGTAGCTCACATCTGTGATCTCTGTTACTCCCTGCCTGCCCCACTGCTGAAATGGGCACAGAGCAGCCGCAGCCGAGGTGAGAGAGAGGACAGATGACAGTGCAGGTGTGTGACAAACTATCTGTCCTGTGTGTTTAGCTACATTAGCTCTGCAATATACTTAAATAGACGTTTGGGAAAAACAACAAAAAAATGTGTCTAATGACTGGGAAGCGACGCTGAGGAATGCACACCAGCAGCTGAAAAGTAAAGGAAACTATGCGGCAAGGGCAATTACCAGTCAGTTAATTGGAAAAAAAAAAAAAGTTAACCTGCATTTACAATGTTCAGGGGTACCAACTAATCCTTATGGTCACCCCATAGTACAGGCATTTTGGTTAGGAAGTGTGTTTCTGACAAAGTATTACACTTTACAGCAACAGCTTTTCACTTACAGATCATCTACTGCTCTTATAAACATATATACCTATTAGCTTCCAGGAAAAAAAAAATAAATATCAGGAAGTCACAGTATCTTGTCATTCTCAGGGGTCCTATACATGCTACAGCCTGGAAATCAAGAGGCTGACTGCCAGGAAAACAGTGTCCATAAACACCAAAAGCACCCAGCCTGATTGCAGGTCTGCAGGTGCCACTGAGGCACTCAGCAGGTGCTGAAGCTGCTGCAGTTGACTTCTCAGATCTCCCTATGATGGCACTGCCATTTACACACGAACTGCTCAATAAACTTGAAGTGGTTTCAAATAATTTGCAAGAAAAGCTGATCAAACAAGCTTTTTCCAAGCTGCACATTCCCCCCATGGCAACCATAACCCCTTTGCAATTAGCTTCCAGGAAAAAAAAATAAATATCAGGAAGTCACAGTATCTTGTCATTCTCAGGGGTCCTATACATGCTACAGCCTGGAAATCAAGAGGCTGACTGCCAGGAAAACAGTGTCCATAAACACCAAAAGCACCCAGCCTGATTGCAGGTCTGCAGGTGCCACTGAGGCACTCAGCAGGTGCTGAAGCTGCTG